GCATGGGTGAACCTGGGATGTGCTGCCTTTAACATTTCTGTGACAAGACCCTGAGGTACGCGGCCAAGGGGACAACAGGTCTCGTGACTCGTGGTTTCAGAGGTGTTTGCTTGCCCTGGTGGCTTGGCCCTGTCACCAGGCCTATGGCGGCACAGTGTCCGTGGTGGCTTTGTGTGGTTTATGATGTTGAAGAAGCCAGGGGCCATTAGTCCCCTTCAAGGACACATCTGTGTGACCTAACTTTGAGGGTTCACCTGTCTCCCCAACATTACCACTCTGGGACCAAGCCTTCAGCACCAGGGTCTTTGGTGGCACTCAGGATCCAAGCTGTAGCAATGGATCACCTTCCTTTCTGGGAGCTCACGTCTAACCACAGGCAGGAGGCAGAGAGCAGGCAAAAACTGCCTGTCTTTGCAAACCTCAGAGCATGCCCCCAGCGGCACCTCCTCCAAGGACACACCACCTAATCCCCCTAAAACACTTCCACCAACTGGGGAACTACATATTCCAACCTGTGAGCCTGTGGGGCTGTTCTCACTCAAACCGCCACACCTGATCATCCCTGGGACTCGACTGGGGGATTTGGTCAGGAGACTTAACTGTTGTGAATTTTGTACCAGATTGCAGAGACACAGCGGCAGGTCTTCCTGGGTGTGGCTCCCTGTCTTGTTCCTCAGTGCTTTATGGTTGTCAGCATCCTCTACCAAATTGCTCATTGGTCATCCAGAAAGCAAGCCTGCAGGCAGTGGGTACAGATGTAGACCAGACATCCACCCCATATGTGGGGTTGAGACAGACTTCAGTCCCAGCCCAATCAGTAGTAGGAGCGGTAGCTGGGTTGGGGGGATGTAATTCCTCAAGTGACGGTACCCCAGTGGGACATAGTGATGATCTGTCTAGATGGGGGTGTGTCCTTGCAGGACCCAGATGGACAGTACTGTCAGTTACTAAGGTAGCCAGCCATGTTGAATACCTGGCTAGCCACCATTCAGATGAGAAAACCGAGGATCTAAAATCTCAGGGGTTTCAGTTATTTCAGGCATAAATGACCAGAGATTTGTGTTGTAATTGCCTGAGCGCCCTGGACACTTGTAAGTTTGAACTGGCTTGGTTTGAGGCAGATTAAACTTGCATCTCTTTTAGGGATTCTAGAAACCCCTGCTTGTGGAGGAAATGTAAGCAGCGTGCCAGAACCCAAGTCACAAGTGCCTGTGTCTACAGTGGGATGAACACGCGCCGCTCACACCGGGCGAAGGCTGGGGTGTGCCCTTGGGCCCTCTTTCCCCAAATAAGATCACATCGTCTTGATAGCTTGCCAACTGCCCTGAGGGAGGGTGGGGGCAGTTGCTGTTGTGAGAGCGTGCTAGCAAATAGCCGTGGCTTTCGGAGGTGCTGAGTCGAAAGGTGCTGGATCTCGGCTCTCCTAGGTGTTACAGCCCTCATGCTTGGGTTGTGTGCATCCATAGGGTTGTTTTTTTTGAAGCACTGTCTTAACTGTGTCACCCCAGCTGGCCCTGGACACACAGCTGTCCGGCTTCTGCCCCCAAGGGCTGGGGTTAGTGTGTGCCACTCAGCATGTGTGGCTCTTTTGTCTCTTGGGTTTGTTTTTGAGACAGGTGCTGCCTTCTGTACCCCTGCCTCTGCCTCCTGAGTGCTGGAATTACAGATGTAAACCTCTGTGGCCATCAGGAATGGAGATGTAGATGCCATCTAGAGTATTTCCTCCATTCCAAGAACTCGAAGCTGTGCCCTGGACTGTCGTGCCGTGGGCTACACCAGGAGCTGTACTCTGTCCCTGGCTGTCTCCTGGCCTCAGACAGTTCTCACAGATTGGTCTCCCAGTGGCCTCACTCTTGGCTCTGAGGGGACAACGTGCCTTGCACTGGGTCCTTGCACAACCTCTCCAGCCTCAGCTCTTCTCCACGGTACTCTAAAGCACACGGATGTTTCTTGAGGGAGGGTAGGCAGGCTGCTCTCTGCCAGCCCTGGGGCCCAACTTCGGACGTGGTTTGCGGGAATGTGTTGTTAAAAGACCACAGTAGCGAAGTCGGAGCTCCAGGAGCAGGCTGTGCATCAGGGAACCAGACCGGAAGCTCAGTGAGGGTCATTTAGTGTGCCCGTGGTCTGCAGGGTCCGTCCTTCCCTGGACTCGGCCTCCGTCAGGTCATGGATGGTGAGTGGATCAGACAGGAGAGCCACTGTCTGGCCCAGCCACAGCATCTCTGAAGCCCGGAGGTCCAGTGATGGGGTGATAGCAAGACACAGACTCTTCTCCACAAATCTCTCCACATGTGCCCCTCCTGGGTACGAGCGAGGGCAAGTGTGACGTTCAAGACAAATCCAGAGGACAGAAAGGAGCCAGCACTTGGCACATTTATGTTCCCACACCAGCTCGACCTTGACAGTAACAGCGCAGTGCATGAATAACAAGATCCAGAAAATGCTAAAGGAAGCATTGGGTCCGTGTGTGCTGACCCAGCCGTATTCATTTCAAAATCCAACTCTGGCTTCGAGGTAAAAAAGTCAGGCATGAGATTTACAGAAGGCAAAGCCTTACTCAGTTGGATTGGGTTTTGAGAATGCCACTGGTGGAAATCCCTATTCTTTGGTGTCTCAGAGATGGAGCAAATGAGAGCTTTAACAAAACCTGTCAACGCAAAGCACAGCCCCCACCTCAAGAAACAAGAGCGGCCAGGAGCAATTACACGAACTTCCACAGTCATACATACATCAAAAGACAATCACGGTTCAGTGCTCTTCGTGATACACTCATGGAAACATGGTGTAGAGGGCAACAGAGTGTAGTGAAGCAGAGGTCTTCATGATAGGTCTCAGATACTGCCGAGTGGTGTCCTCAGCTCTTTGGGTGTGCGGATGCCAGCGGTATATTGATACATTGCTAGAAGGTTTTACCTGCTGGTCACGAGGATGTTAGGCTTAACATCCAGAAATGGAGCATCGAAGGGCTGTCACAGCCCTGGACTGTTTGGATGTAGATCTGTAACATTCTAACTCTGCATAGCTCTAACCAGCCCCTTGGCTTTGCAGATTCAGTAACGTGTGTGTGTGTGTGTGTGTGTGTGTGTGTGTGTGTGTGTGTGAGAGAGAGAGAGAGAGAGAGAGAGAGAGAGAGAGAGAGAG